AGCTCAGTTCTGTCCCCACTCACTTCCCCACATCCCAGTCCCCAGTCTGTGGGAATTGGGGGCTGCACACACAGTGAGACAAGAAATGACCACACCTACCAGGGAACACCCAAGCAGGCAAGTAAGTAAAAGATAGAGAACTACCCTGGGCATCCCAAAGGACAAGCCCAAGGGCCCAAAGCAACCTCTCCCCCACAGTTTCCTTCTGTCTCTCTGCCTCTGCTTCCCCCCCCCCCCCCGCCCCTCTATCTCTGACATTGAGAAGTAAACCAGGGCGTCACACTAGGCTCTATCACTTGAGGCACATCCCCAGTCCTTTTTGAGTTAGTTTGTTTTTCAGATAGGGTCTGTTTTCCCCTGCCTCTGCTTCCCAAGTAGATGGGATTACAGGCATATACCACATTGTCCAGTCCATAAACTGCTTTACCTTCTTAATGTAACCACAACACAGAATAAAGTCAATAGGGCTTGGCCTGGCATTTTAGGCCTTAAGAACCCATCCTGGCTGGGCACCGGTGGCTCACGCCCTATAATCCTAGCTACTCAGGAGGCTGAGATCTGAGGATCTCGGTTCAAAGCCAGCCCAGGCAAGAAAAGTCTGTGCATGACACTCTTATCTCCAATAAATCACCAGAAAACCGGAAGTGGCACTGTGGCTCAAGTGGTAGAGCACTTGCCTTGAGCTGAAGAGCTCAACGCCCAGGCCTGGAGTTCAAGCCCACGACTGACCAAAAAAAAAGAACCCATCCTGGTGAGCCAAGCATACTTTGTCCCTCAACTCCTGGAATGCCTTTTCTTTCTCTACATCTCTGCATGTTGGAATCCAAACCCACTTCTGCCCTGCAAGTTGGAAAATGTTGGCTGATTCACAGTTCTTACAGGTAGCTTTCTCACTAAATTTGCCTGGGTGTCCATGGCTTACCTAGTAACTGAAATAATGGCACCACATTTGCACCATTGTGGGATGATGGGAAGAAAGCTTGAAGAATCACTGTGGTATACAGTAGTAGGGGCTCAGTGAAAATGCAGCTAAGTCAACATGTCTGCAGCCACCTCACCACTTCCCCACAGGTACTTGAGTGAATTCTGAGTACTTACTACGTGCTAGGCACTGTCTAGATACCCAGTACAACTCCTGGAATATAAATGCTCTTCCTGCAAACAAGTCTGTCTATGGGACAGCCCCTGGTTATATCAGGGGCTGTAGCTGAGCCAAATTCAGTCTTCTGAAGGTCAAGAGTCCTTAGAATCCAAAACAAAACAAAAACGAACCCAGCCGGAGCAGAGGCCCGATTCTGCTGCCCCCTGGTGTCAGTGGTGGTGTCAGTGGTGACAGTGAGCTCAGACTGAAGGATCTGTCATTCCTAGCCAGGGACCTGGCAAAAAGGTCCTGAGGAAGCCGTGTGCCCATGGCTCCTGCCTATAATCCCAGCTACTCAGAAGGCTGAGATCTGAGGATCGAGGTTCAAAGCCAGCCGGGGCAGAAAAGTCATGAGACTCTTATCTCCAATAAACCACTAGAAAACCAGAAGTGCGCTGTAGCTCAAATGGTAGAGAGCTCGCCTTGAGCTGAAGAGTACAGGGATATTGCCCAGGCCCAGAGTTCAAGCCCCATGACAAAAAAAAAAAAAAAGTCCTGAGGTGAAATCTTCCCACATGGTAAGGGACTTTATATGAATTCTAGACAGCTGCTATATTCTTCTGAGAGCTCCACCCCTGGTCCCAATTCTTCACTGCCTTCTTGGATTCCTAGATGGACCCAGACCTCATGCTAGGCCTTTATTGTGGATCCTGTGGGTGGAGGACAGAATCTGAAGGGGCTGAGCTGAGTCAGAGTGTGCAAATCTGCCCCAGTATAGCAACAAAGGAAACTGTCAGATTCCTGTCATCATTCTCTGGTAGCCCTGGTTTACTCCCAATGGAGCCAACCCTCCCATAGGGCGATGAGCAGGGTTAGGGTCTTCATCTCTTCCTTTTCTGGAGAATTGCCTCAACTGAAGCCACATCCATTCTGAATTCATAACATCCTAACACCTCCCTCCCGCCCCGTATGCCCCTTCCCCCATTACCACATTCCTGCCTCTACCTACAACTCATTCTGGCTAATTAAGAGGGCTCCTCTGGGTCTCTCACCTGGGTTCCCAAGGCATAAGACCCTGAAACATCCAACCTCATCACAGTTCTCTCTGCACACTTTCACTAGTCTGACTTCCCTAATTGGAGTTTGGCCTACGGGCTTCTGACAAATGCTCCTGTGTCTTGTAAAATGGATGTCTCCAGGGGTCAGGTATGAACTGAAAAGACTTGAGCCCGGTACAAGGACCTGGGGCTGCATCAGCCTAGACGAGATAGTGCCTTCCTCTCGTGGTGGTTACATTTTTATCCACCATGAGTGGTGCCTCTTTCCGGTTTGTACAGTTAGGCACAAGCTCCAGTCCACTGCTCCCATCATCCACCCTCACAGGGAGGGCATATTTTCTTATGCCAGGCCCAGCATCTGACTCATTCTGAACCTATTTGTTTCCCTGTTTACTACTCAACATACAGATGACATATGAGCTGGTCCAGGTCTCAGTACAGCCCAGAGCACGGGTGCTTCCCACAGTAGACAGTTCCTCATCTAAGTGGCTCCCTTTCTCTCCCCCTTTCCCATCATTTTCTCCCCAAGGGCAGCTCCTGTGTTGTTTCTCAAGAGCCAGGTTGGGTGGAAAGAAAAATACATAATACTATTCAAAAGTGGCATTGCATCAGGAACGCTTTCTCCCTCCTACCCCCCTTTCTGGGGAGTGGAAGGGACATAGCAGCTGCTACAGGCTGCAAGAACAAATACATTCATTCTGTTGTGCTCACTAAACACTTAGTTCTTAGTCCAAGAATCCTCTCTGTTCCCTCTGCTTCTAGAGGTCAGGAAAAAGTTGGGGTCCAGGCAAAGTAAAAAGAAAAGAAAAAGAAAAAGAGGGTAGAAATGGTGACCTACAAAAGCCCCATCATGCTTCTGGGGTATTCCATCCAGCCTCAGCCTCTTATCCTGCATTAAAAACTGCTGACCAGTGGGCACCAGTGGCTCATGCCTGTAATCTTAGCTACTCAGGAGGCTGAGATCTGAGGATCATGGTTCAAAGCCAGCCTAGGGAGAAAGGCCGTGAGACTCTTATCTCCAATTAAGCCACCAGAAAACCAGAAGTGGAGTTCTGGCTCAATTGGTAGAGTGCTTGCTTTGAGCTGAAGAACTGAGGGACAGCGCCCAGGCCCAGCATTCAAGAAAGCACCAGAGCACTTTGGGAAATGCTCCACAAGGAGGAAGGTCAGAGGCCAGTTTGAGTCAGGCACAATCCAACCCTGCCTGTAGATAAGGGCCCTACACAGTAAAGGGGTTCTCCCCCCGCCACCCCCACTCAGGTTGATGATGACCTCTTTCACAAGGAACTCTGTTACCCACAGACATTCCCTCTGCAGCCACAGAAGACCAAGGCCGTGGAAAGCTGCCTCAGAGCCATGGCTGAATGGGGTCCACCAGATGGTAGGACAAAAGCATCCTGGCACTCAGAAGGGGCTCTAAGACCGCCTCATCACTCAGATGATAAATGGGTGTTACCAATAGCATCATCATTGTCATTACTCCTCACCCTAGCTTTAGTTCTGTCCTTGTCAGTTATGTGTGCATCAGGACTGGTGTGGCTCTGCACAGCCTGTCAGCAGACACTGGCAGACAGAAGGAGCTTAGGGCGCTGAGGGGATTAGAGAGGCCTTACTCTCCCCATCTCAGGGGAAGTGTCCCTGTGGCCTAACTCAGGGGAGGAGAGGAGTGAATGCCTGGCCCACCAGTCATCTAGGTTCAGATACAAACAAGCACTTAGTAGCATTCGTTGATCAGTTAAAACCTCAGATGGAATCTCAAGTCAGCCAGTTATTAACCACGTGACACTGGACAAGTCAATGCATCCCCTGACCTCAGTACAAAGAGACACCACCACTGAACTCCTAGGAATAAGAAATAACACATGCAAAAACCTCAAGTGAGGATCTATCTCAAAAAGATCAACTTCCTCCCTCTCTCGGGCTCTAAAAGAACTTTATCCACTTCTGATGTGTCATTTCAATTTGAAATAATAAGCAGCACTCACATTCTTGAGCATTTGCTTCCGGGCTTTAGGCCCTGTGTAAACCCAATTTAAAGGTCAAGCACTTCACTTACATTTATCAGGCTTAATCTGTGGGGAAGGAGGGAGTAGCTGGAGGAGGGGGGTAGTGGAGACCCTTGAGTACTCCATACCCCAGAGGCTCACAGAGAGGAAAAGGCCACCTCAAGCAGTAGAACTGGCCCTGCAGCAAGCCTGTGGAAGACACCCCCCCCCCAAGTGTGCGTATAAAGGGCCCGGAAAAGTTCTGGGCAGGGATCCTGCCGGGATCTGGTCTCAGAGAGTTGGGGGGGGGTGAGGGGTGGCTCCCCTAAGGGTAGGTGTGTATGGGTGGGTGGGGGAACAACCTTGGGCAGAGCAGAGAGGGCTCCACAAAAGTCGGGTACTCTGGCTGAAGAGCCGGCAGGGAGGGGTTCCGAGAAAGCCCCAGTCCCAGGTCGGGCATCACGGCTGACCTGCTAGGGCACCTGGCGGAGGGGGTGGGGGTGGTCGACACCCCCTGGGCTTCGGGTGGCTGGAGAAGGACAAAGACGCCAGGAGTCTTGCCTGTCCCAGCCTGGATTGGGGGGCGCGGGGCCTGCTGTGATCAGCGGGGCCGGGAGGCGGTGGGGTCGCGGTGGCCGAAGCCCCCTCCCGCACCCCCCCCCCGGCCCCCCGCATCTCCGCAGACGCAGCTGCTTCCAAAACGCGGCCTGGAGCTCCCGCGGGGACTGCGGGCGGCCCCGGGACCTTGAAGGGGCGACGGCTCGGCCGCCGCGGGGCGGGTGAATCACCGGCAGCCGCGGGCCAAGTCCCCAGGCTTTCCTTGACCGGCGACCCGAGGTGCGGGGGTCGGGTGGGCCCGGGCGGGCGAGGACTTACCCGCAAACAGCCAGAGGGAGCCTCCGGACACGAGGAAGAAGGTCAGCATGCCGGTCGGCCAGGGGCCCGGCGGCCCCGCACGGCCCCCGCAGCCTACGGCAGCCCCGCCGCCCCGCAGCAGCCGCGCTGTCCCCGCCGCCGCCGCCGCCGCCGTCCGCCGGGTATTTTTAGCCCCCGCCTCCCCGCGCCGCTGCGGAGACGGCGGAAGGGGGGGGAGGGCGGCGCGCACGCACGCGGCCCCGGAGCCCCCGCTCGCCGCCCCGCAAGAGCCCGGCCGGGCCCGGAACCGCCGAGCCCGCGCGGGGGAGGGGCCGCGCCGCGGCGCCAGCCCCGCGCTCCGCGCCCCCCGCCCAACGTTCCGGGGGTGTGGGGTGGGGTGTGTGGGGAGCCGGCCCCGCCCCGCCCCGCCCCGCCGACGCGCGCGGCCCTCACCTCCGCGCGGCCCGCCGCGGGGCCGGGCCCGGGGCTGGGACCCGCTGATCCCGGGAGATGCACCGCCGCCGCGAACCGGAGACTCACGGACGCCAGTGCCCCCCTCCTAGGGCGAGTCCGCAGACGCGGGAACCTCTGCCAGCCGGTGCGGGTGGGGAGCGTGCGGGAAGCCGGCCGGGAGGGTTGATCGAGGTTCTGACAAAGGGAAGCCGGCTGACTGCGGGGCGTAGGGGGTGGGGTGCCCAGGTGAGCTGGGGGTGCGCCAGGGCAGGTCTGAGTCTGCACGAGGTGGCGGGAGGCTGCTTCTGGGACCCAGCTGTCCGTGGGCTTCGCCCGTCCGCCCGAGGGTATGTCGCACGAAGGCACAGACACCCCCCCCCCCCCAATCACGGTGTCCCGCGAGGGCGTGGACAATCACAGGCTTCCTATGGTTCCTCTCTGGCACTTAAGTCTCAAGCCCATCCGACCCCACAGCCGCCCAAGTCAGATGGTCACTCTGCCGGGCTGAAGGACTGGAGGCCCTCCCCTCTCAGTGACTGACAGGAAGCCCAGTTGCACTCTTTTCCTTCCTCTCTCTTTTCTCCCCCCTCTCCTTCCCTCCCCCCCACCCCCCTCAGTACTGGAGAGTTTGAACTCGCGGCCTTCATGCCTGGTTGGAGAGCTCTACCACTTGAGTATTACCTCCCCTCCCACCAGGCTTTTTGCTGTTTTGGAAAATGGAGTCACTTGGACTTTGCTGCTTAGGCTGACTTCAAACCATGAACTTCACCTTCCAGAGTAGCTAGGATGACAGGCATTAGGCCACTGATGCCCAGTCCAGGACACATTTTTCTGAAGGAAAAAGGATAGGCATTTTGATGGAGACTCTATGGAGATCTAGAGAGCTGCATTTCAGGATCACCTAACCAATGCTCTTAATTATTTCCCTCGAAAATGCAGTAGCCCCGTATAGGCCTCAGCACCGAGGACAGCGCCCAGGCAGCCCAGCTCTCTCTACAGTTCAGTATTCCCGGGGTACACACTGGCTAGGAACCATACCCCCAGGAAGACAATAGGAAACTAGAGAACAGAGATCAGGTAGCAGAAAGTCTCCAGGTGAAACACCACCCGCACTCCTCCCCATGTATGCAACTGTGTTGCAAGTGGGGGTGGGATGGGGGACTTACATCTGTAGTATGAATATATAGCATGCGTGTAACCAGACCTGTCGGTGGGAAGCCTACAGAACTGTAAGTCTACAGATGTGTCACTTTTGAACCTTATAATAGGATCCTGTTCCCCATCCCAGGGTCTAGATACTGGGACAGTTGCTTTTGCTTGAACTCAGGTATAGCCTAGCAAGGATGTTGCTGGAATCTCAAACTTGGCAAGGCTTCTCCAGAAGGTGTTATGGGCAGTGTGGCAGGATCCCTCCCAGCAGGTGACAAGGCTATTAGAATCTCACCTCACCCCTCACTGGCTGCAAACTAACTGAAAACCTGCATGTATCTTGATTGGCCTAAGGAAGTGGGCAGACATTTCTCTATAGGTCAGGGAAACAACATGGTGTTCCTTTGCAGAGCAGAAGGGGATCAGGAGCCAGGCAGCAAGACCCAGGCCCAGGCCTCCTCCTGCAGCACTTCACTGCAGGAGGAGGCCCTGTGTGGCTCCTGGCAGCCTCCTCTCCAGAGTGATGTCATGGGACACATTTAGCCTGGCCTCCTGCAGAATGTCGCATCCGGTTATTCTTCCTACAGATGTCTCTGGGACTTGTGAATATTTTAATTTAAAAACCTGTGCTGGAGCTGTGACTGATTACAGCTTAACTGATTGTATTTGTTTTTTCCCTCTCTGAGCATGACTTAGCTTCTGCTGAGGGACAGAGACAAGAAGGCTCTAAGCTGGCTGTGGGATCATGGCCAGATCTCTTTCCTCTCTAGATCGGTTTCCTCCCTGAAGTAAGGATACTTGCGCTTTGCTTCCCTGGATTCCCAAGGTGTCTTTTCTCCTTCTAGGGAGGTATTCATTCATAGACAATCTGTGCTATGACTCTGGGGTCTCTAGACTTAATGCCCAGAGGTTATGGAACTCAGAGATCAGAACTCAGGACCCAGAGATGCTCAGACTAAACTGGGAGACCCTTGTCTCATATTACAGAGCAATTCTGGCCTCCCTCCCTCCCTTCTTTCCTTCCTTCCTTTTCTCTACTTACTCTTTCAGCTAAAATTCACTACTATATACTCGGTGGTTTGGCCCCCTGATAGGTACTAGGAGGCAGGGAACAAATCAGAAGCAGCAATAACATCAGCCTAGTATAATAAAGCCTCAGGACAGAAAGAAGATCCTAGACAAACTCTGGGAAGACATCCTAGAGGAGGAAATACTTAAGCTGAAGTAAGGGTTTACCTCGTGTCATGGTTTGGGTATGAAGTGCCCCTCTAAAATGCTTATGTGTTGAGGGCTTGGTCCTCAACTTGTGGCACTACTGCGAGGTGATTAGATCAGCAGGGTGTACCAACTTCATCCATGGATGAAGTTCAATAGCTGAAATACGGCTTATCTGGAGGGAGTAGATCACTGGGATTGTGACGTTGAAGGGTGTCTTGTTCCCAACCTCTTTCACTCTCTTTGCTTCCTGACCATGTGCACAGCTGTGTTCCACCATATCTCTCCACCATGATGTTTTTCCTCACCACACATCCACAGAACCAAGCAACCATGGACTGAAATCTCTGAAACCTTAAGCCAAATAAAACCTTTAAAGCTCTTTAAGTTATTTCCTTCCAGTATTTTGTCACAACAAAAAGTGGACCAGCATGTCAGGTAGCAAAGCAGAGCAAATGACACCTGTCTCACCCCTAATTCTGTCATGTCAGGTAGCCCTGGTTAAAATTCTGCCTCTTTCTGTGTTCACTGATACAAAGAGTACATCATAACCTACCTAGGAGGCTGAGGTTTGAGGATTGAGGTTTGAAGCCAGACCAAGCAGGAGAGTCCCTATGAAAGACTCTTATCTCCAATAAAATACTCAAAATAGCCAGAAGTGATGCTGTGGCTCAAGTGGTAGAGTGCTAGCCTTGAGCCAAAGAAGCTCAGGGACAGTGCCCGGGCCCTGAGTTCAAGCTGCAGGTCTGAGGAAAAAAAAAAAGCTGGGTACCGGTGGCTCATGCCTGTAATCCTAGCTACTCAGGAGGCTGAGGTCTGAGGATCACAGTCCAAAGCTAGCTCAGCCAGGAAAATCCATGAGACTCTAATCTTCAATAAACCACCAGAAAACCAGAAGTGGTGCTGTGGCTCAAGTGGTAGACTGCAAGCCTTGAGCTGAAGAGCTGAGGGATAGTGCCCAGGCCCAGAGTTCAGACCCCACGACCAACGAAATAATAATAATAATAATAATGAGCTTCTAGAAGATAAGACCAGTGTATTTGTCCAAACCTAGAAAGTATAAAAGCAACGGTTAGGAGCCATTATCTTGAGTCTTTAACTTCCTTCCTGAGGAGCAGGAAAATGTTTTTCTCTTCTCCATTTCTCCTACTTTCTTATACTAAAATAAACCCATGCTAGCCTGATGCTGGTAGCTCATGTGTGTAATCCTAGCTACTAGATGGTAGAGCGGTGGCTCAAGTGGTAGAGCGACAGCCTTGAGCAAGAAAGTGAAGGGACAGCCCCCAGACCCTGAGTTCAAGCCCTAATACTAGAACTAAATAAATAAAATTCTTTTTTAAATCTTTCACTTTGTGAGACTTTTTTGTGAGATATGCTAAAACACTTTTCATGAGTGGATCTGAAACTGGGAAGCTGAGGGAGTCATATCTGGTGACAGACTGACCACCCTCCTAAATATGCAAAGGCCTACAAGTCTATTCTGTATCTGGTTCCCTGAAGGCCATAAGAAATGAAATGAGATAGCCTTACCCACTGTGGGCTCAGATTCCCCATGCATATAGGATAACAGGGCAATGATCCTCTCACAGTGTAGATCTTCTGTATTTTTAAGCCCTCAACCATTTATTTCTGGTACTAAGGATGGGATCTAGGGCTTTGTGCATGCTAAGCAAGTATGACATCCTTGGCCCTGCTTAACATTTGAATACTTTCCTTATATTCTGATAGTTTCCCACACTGAATTATCTCTTTAACGTGAAATCCCTCAGATTCACATTTCCAGCCCCCACTGCACATGAACAGCAGTGGTTAAGTGACTCAGATGATGTGTTGATGAAACGACTTCATGAGCTTTGATCCAAAAAGCCAGCTATGAGTGGCAAAAAGTCCCTACCTGTTGCATCCATCTTGCTGACGTGGGGAGTCCACAGAAGCAACAGGTGGTAGATGATTCTGGGAGGTGCTAGCATTCTTCATTGTATTCCTTCTCTGTTAAAATAATATGAATTTTGTTATTTGCAGCTCAAAACTCACACTGATATACCTCAGTGTCCTAGGCTAAAAGTATCTCAAATCCTCCAGAGATTATGGCTAGAGGGCTGGTCACTCAATATGACATATGTCTTGTTCCCTTATCCTTATACTAAGAAATGGAGGCTCTGGTTGGTGGGGCTAGGTGAGCTGAGATGGATTTTTTTTTTTTTTTTTGGCCGGTCATGGGGCCTGAACTCTGGGTCTGGGCGCTGTCCCTCAGCTCTTCAGCTCAAG